CCCTCCTCCTCCTCCTCCTCCTCCTCCTCCTCCTCCTCTTCCTACTCCTACCCCCTCCTTCCCCCTCCTTTTCCGCCGCCCTCAATAACACCTTATCCCATCCTCGTCCCCATCGCCTTTCTCCTCCTCCATCTTCCCTCAACCTCCTCCCCTCCACCCCGCCCTCCTTACCCCTGCTCCTAACTACTCATCGCTCCTCCTCCTCCTCCTCATCCTCCTCCTCATCCACTTCCTCATTACCCCCCCCTCATCCCCTCTCCTCAAATCCTCCTCCTCCTCCTCCTCCGCCGCCGCCCCCCCCCCCCCCCCCCTCCCTGCCGTCCTCGCCCTTCTCCTTCCGTCCTCCTGCCTCCCCTCCTCCTCCTCCTCCTCCTCCTCCTCCCTCCTCAAACCTTTTCCCTCCTCCCCTCCTCCTCCTCGTCCCCCTCCTCCTTATCAGCCTCCTCGTCCCCGATCATCCCTCTCTCTTCCTTCCTCCTCCTCCTCCTCCATCCTCCTCCTCCACCTCCTCCTCGCCTCCTCCTCCTCCTCCTCCTCCCCCTATCATCCTTCTTCTCCTCCTCCTCCTCCTCCTGCCCCCTCCTCCCTCCTCCTCGTCGTCGTCCTCGTCCTCCTCCTCCGTTTCCTCCTCCTCCTCTTCCTTATCCTCCTCCTCCTCCTCCTCCTCCTCCTCCTCGCCCTCCTCCTCCCTGGGCCGTTTGGCCCGCCAAGCGCAGCCGCTCGCTGGCGCGGCCCGCCCCCAGCGGCCGCCCCGAGGCCGGCGAGGCGCCCGGCTTTCCCCCCCCCCTGGGGTCGATGATCAGCGGTAGACTGTAGCACGCAGCGCTGGGATTGCACGCCCCACATCTGCACAGCGCTAGGCTACTACCCCGGCCTACCACAGCTACCCAGGTGCATAACTGAGAGCGTCACCCAACCTTAGCACATCATCGAATCGTGCACCTAATCACACATACATGTCCTCCCGCCGCGCCCAGGCCCAGTTCTGCACCTGGGTAGCGCAGCGCACTTTCCGAACTCGCAGGCGGCGGAGGCGATGCATGAGGGGGATTGGGGATGGAGGAGAACAGGCGAGGAGGGAGTGCGGAGCACGAATTGGCGGTTTCGAAGGGAGGAGGAGGGGGGGGGAGAAGGGGGGGGCGAGAGGGGGCGAAGGGGGTGACGAACAGGGCCCAGAGCAGTAGCGCCCGTGGATTTCCCACGGGGACAGCTCGCCACAAAGCTCGCGTAGTGCGCGAGCTCACTCAGGTGATCGTTGCGGGGCGATTCGCGTCGACATCGCCACGGGGATCATCCCCATCTCGGCCTATCGGGGTCGAGCCACCATCCACTAGTCAGAAGAACTGCTGTTGCCAGACTTCAGCATCTTGGTCAAATCCCGCTGCCCAGGCGGGACGGCGGCGCGCTTGCCGTCGAGCGTGTCAATGACATCCTGGCACTCGCCGGCGGACTTCGGCGGCGTGATCGGGAGAGACTTGTGCTCATGAGGGGGCTGGCCGCTGTGCGCGAAAGCCCACGCGGTGATGCCCATCGCGCACGATTCCCAGCTCCTGGCCCCCAACGTGCACCGTTTCGTGCACTTGTGGTGTTGCTCGCAGTTGATCTGCCAGTAACCAGCCTAGAGGGGGCATTCCAGGGACATCGTCATACACATCGTCCGTGCCATTGGTATCACATTCCTACTCATCCTCATCCTCATGATCATCCCCATCTTATGTTCGTCCTCCTCAACATCCTCATCCTCCTCATATCATCCGGTTCCTCCTCCTCCTCCTCGCCCTCATCGTCTCATCATCATCCTCATCATCCTCCTTCTCACCCTCCTCCACCGCATCCTCATCATCATCATCATCATCGCCCTACTCATCCTCATCCTCCTCGCCGTCGCAATCATCGCCCTCGTGCTCCTACTCCTCCTCCTCTTTCCCATTCATTCCTCCTCCCCCTCATCCCCCTCGCCAACGTAGCCTTGTCCGTGCCGCTCCACGCGGCGGTCGCGAGAACCCTGCCCCGGCCGTTCTCACGCGCAGGGAATGTTCTGGCCTTGTTGAAGTTGTAGTGGCGACTGACGACGTTCGCCAGGGTCTCGACATTGGAAGTCGCGGCATCCTCAGCAGCGGGCCGGGGCGAAGGGATCGGGTGGATGCAGATCTTCGCGATGGGGTCCCCAGCGTGAATATCTTCACTGAAGATCTTCGCGCTGTGGCCCCCAGCGGGAAGATATTCAGATATTAGCGCCGGGGGCCTCTCGGAGCGCCCTGGGGGCCTCGCGGGCCACCCTGGATGTATATTGGGCTGTCTTGGAGGCCAGTTCGGGCCGCTCGGGCTTTCTGGGGGCCCCAGAAGGCCTCCAGCGCGAATATATGCACTGAAGATCTTCGCGCTGAGGCCTCCAGCGCGAAGATATTCAGATCTTCGCGATGTGAGCTTCTCGGAGCGCCCCGAAGGCCTCGCGGACCGTCCTGGATGCCTCTTGGGCTGTCGTGGAAACCATATCGGGGCCTGTTGGGGCGTCTGGAGGCCCCAGAAGGCCTCCGGCGTGAAGATCGCGGGGTGAAGATCTTCGCGCCGAGGCCACCAGTGTGACGATCGTCGCTGCTGATATTCACGCTGGGAACCTTTTGGAGCGCCCTGTGGGCCTCGTTGGCCGCGCTGGAAGCCTCTTGGGCTGGATTCGATGACATATCGGGCCGATCGGGTTGTCCGAGGCCCAGAAGGCATCCAGCGTAAAGATCTCCGATGAAGATATTCACGCTGGAGCCTCCTGGAGCGCCCGGGAGTCCAGCGCGAAGATCTTCGCTGGAGATCTTCGCGACGAGGCCCCCAGCGTGAAACTATGCGCGAGTTGTTCGCGCTGGGTGGCCTCTTGGGGCGCCCCCAAAGCCTTGCGCTGCAGGGGTTCTGTTAAGGACGCGCTGCGGCCCCGCGCGATTCCCGACAGGAACCAGACCTCCAGCGCTCCCCCCCGGGACCTGGTGGCTGAGGTAGTTTGGCTTAGCAGCGCATTTCGCCCCGCCGACGTCGAGGGCGCAGCCGAAAGCGCCCGAGGTTCGAGCCCGTAACTCACGAGCACAACGGGGGGGGGGGGGGGGGCGCCAGGGGGGGGGAGGAGGAGTGACCGGGAGGGGGAAGGGGCGGATGGAGGAAGAGGAGGAATAGGAGGAGAAGGGGGAGGATGACGAGGATACGGAGGGCGAGAATGATAATGAGTAGGATAAGCAGGAGGATCAGTGGAAGGAGGAGCAGGAAAACAACGCCGAGTGGGCCTTATCCCCCGCCGAGGCCGACGCAGGGGTGGCGGCTGCTGGCGCCGCCTCGGCCCCGGCTGGCGCAGGCGCCGCGTGCTCGACCTCCACGACCGTTGCCTCTTCCGCCTCAGCTGCATTCTCCTCCTCATCTGCCTCCTCCGCCTCAGCTGCCTCATCCTCCGCATCTGCCTTCTCCGCAGCTGGGTCCGGCGCCGGCGCGTCCACTGCTGCAGCTGCCGCCGCCTCTGACGCCGCCGGCGCGGCGGCAGCGGCGCCCACGGCCTCGCCCGAAGCCTCGGGGGCGGCGGGGGCGAGCAGGGAATGGAAGATGCTGAGAAGGGAGATGGCGAGACAGGGGGAAGAGGAGGATAATCAGTAGGCCCCCTGGGACATTGGTGAGGATTTGTGGACAGGGCATCGCGATGATGGCTCCTCATCCACATCATCATATTATGGATCAGAATAACGATCATTTTCCTCATTTTCATCCCCCCATCCACCGTCTCGCTCTCATCGCCAACCCTTCCTCATCGCATCGTCATCTTCCTCCACCTCCTCGTCCACCTCCACCTCCCTCCTCCTCCTCTTCCTCCTCCTCCTCCTCCTCATCATCAGTCATCCCACCTCCTCATCATCGGCATCGCTCATTATATGCCCGTTCGGCCTGCGGCTGCGGCTGCTCGTCCACGCCCATGAAACTGCTCCAGCGCTGCCTCCAGCGGCGCCGCCGCGCCAAGCGGCGTTGATGTGCCGGTGATCAGCGTACTTGGCCCTCTGCGCCCGTCGGCGCCCTCGACTGTCGTCGCCGCTGCCTGGTCACTAACATTCTCCCCCATGGCAGGCAGGGTCGAAATGCGGGGTCTCTTCGCCGGCGTGTTCTCGACGTCCCCGTCGTACTCGCCAGCGTCGATGCCGGCGGGGACCGCCGCGTCATCGGCGCCCTCCAGTTCTGCAAGCTGGTCGCCGAGATCATCATCCTCATCAAGCTTGGAATGATATTGTGGATGGCGTCCATGACGGCAGTGTTAGTGAACGATTTGCACAGCAGGTCGAAGTCAACCAGCGCGTCGCGCACCATGCGGTTATCAGCGATGCGCAAGCCAATGGACGTCTCGAGGATCTTCTCTGCGAGCACGTGCCCGGGCGGCGCGTACACGATGTCGCCAGCCGCCAGCTCCACGATGAACAACGATGGGGCCTCGGCAGCGCCGAGCTGCGTCGGCGATAGGGTCTGCAACCAGTGAACGACCGACTCGCCAGTAGGGTCTTTCTGGATCTGAGCGATCTCTGACATCCGCGCGCCAGCGAGAAGGCGCATACTTTTTGCCTGGATCCTCCAGTGGCCCAATCCATGACAATCCGGCCCAACGTGGTAGCCGCCCTGCTCGAAGATGAATAGCGCGGGTATCTCGAACAACTGCGTGAAATCGTCGCACTGCTCGCCTGCCCCCAGCCTGCCACCGACCTCCGCCACTGGGATCTGGAAGTCATCACGGTGCGTAGGCGCAGATATGGCAAGTTTTCTGATTGACGCGAGTGCAGAAGCGAGGCCCGGCTTCGACTCGATGCCCTGGCTCATCGCCACTGGGTAGCAGAGCTGCTTGAGCGGCACCTTCGACTTCCTCTCCACATATGATTTTCCCACGTGTCGAACATCGCTTCCGCAGCTGCCTTGTTGTCAGGATCGGCGTTGGCCAACCATGTTATGACGTGCTCCGCGCCGAGTCTGATCACGATCATGCCTCCGATATCAAGCGCATCAATATCGTTCGCATTCTTCAACACGTTCACCTTTGTGCGATCTGGGAACTTCTGGACCGATGCACCCATGTACTTCAGGACTTCAGGGCCAACACCGTCGGCGGCCTGCACGCCCCGCTTCTTGCCTTTCCCCGCGCCCTTGGTCGGATCTACCGGCTGAGCTAGACTTTGCCTCTTACTCTCGATCGACATTATTGCCACAGCGTGCGCCTTCATCAGCGACTTCAACTGAGCCAACACAGTCCTGCCCGAACTCGCGATGGTCCGTGCGTTCATCATGAGCGTCTTCATCCTGTCCTCGACAACCTCCTTGTACTTGGCGTAGGTAGTGTAGCTTGCCGCGGTGTTGACCGAGGGGAACCACGCATCCAACCTGCTGAAGCCCATGATCACGCTGCCGGCGTCACCTGAGAAACACTCCATCGCTCTCAGGCCCGAGTCCATGCCGATATTCGATACGAGAGTGGCGCGGTGATCGTCGAGCTTCGCCTCCGGCACGTTCTCGAGGATGAGCTCCAGGATAGTCAAGCAGCCAGCGACGATAGCGTAGTGGGATTCGAACCGCTTCGGCACGGCAGATGGGTTATCGATGTCTGTGGTGGCGGCGTCGTTGCTCAACGGGTGTCTGTCGATGAACTCCTTCATAGCGTTGCGCGTGCTCTCGACGATCTGCTGGGCAAGAGCCTTCGCCTTCATATATGATGAGGCCGTCCGCAACACTGTGAGCGGCAGAGTCTTGAACTTCTTCGCCTCCGCCTGCTCTGGCGTAAGCTTGCCAGCGCCTCCTTTCCCGCCGCGGGCGGCGGGCTTGGAGGCCGCGGGGGGTGCGTCGTCCACCACGCCAGTGAACGCGTGGTTCTTGAACGTGATGCCCTTCGCTCTCTGCACCATTTGCTCACTTAGCTCGCGGCGAGCCACGTCGGAGAGGAACCTGTGGTTCTTCCGCTCCTCGGTCACCTCGGCGTGCTCTTTGATGTCGTGGAAATGGTGCGAGTGCTTCGTAGCAGCCCGTATTCCGTCGGCCGTCGCCGTCTTGTTCAGCTCGCCGCTGAAGTAAGTGATCGATTGCTTGGGCGTGCCGTCCATCATCTCGCGACGCCACTTATCAGCAGCTTGCGCCGGTGTAAGCGTGCGAGGAGGAGCCAGCGTCTGAATGAAAAAAAACCGCATGTAGTCTTCGTAGATCATGTACTCGCCCTCGTCGCCCTTGAGTTCTCTCTTGCCGTTCTTGGCGATGCTCATATACGCAGAGTAATCAAATGCTGGCCTTTTCCTGCCCCGGCCCACCGCCGGACGAGCTTCTCTGTGTTTCAGAATGAACGCTGCAAGGCGATTCATGTCCTTGTGTAGGTCATTGAAGAACTGCTGCGCGGCCGCGTCCTTCTGGTCCTGGAGGAGGGAAACAATGGCGCCCGAAGTGACGCAGCAGGCGCGCAGGGTGCCCAATCCCACATCTCATACATAAGACCCCGAACATACAAACGTGTTTGTTGCGCGGCCAGCACCACGGGATACACCGCAGACGCACCGTGAGCCCCAGATGGCCAGGGCGCCCGAGACACGTGAGATACCCCACCCAAAATGCATTAAACGGGCCAGCGGCGGGGCGCGGAGGGGCCGGACGCCCGAAAGCCACTTGGGGCCAGCGGGAGGGCGGGGGCGGAAGCCCTAGAGCCGACTTGGGCCAGCGATGGGGGCGGAGGGGCGGAAGCCTCAAAGTTCCCCTAGGGCCAGCGGCGGGGGGCGGAAGGGGGCGGAAGCCCTAAAGCCCCACATGGCCAGAGAGGGGGCGGAGGTGGCGGGGGCACGAAAGCCCCCTAGGGCCAGCGGGGGGGGGCGGAGGGGGCGGAAGCCCTAAAGCCCCATAGGGCAAGCGAGTGGGCGGAAGGGGCAGAAGCCCTAAAGCCGCATAGGGCCAGCGGCGGAGCACGGATGGGGCGGGGGCCCTGTGGCCCCCTGGGGCCAACGAGGGCGCGGAATGAACACGCGCAACAATGCCCCAAGGGGCCGGCGGCGGTGGGCGGGGGGGGCGGAAGCCCAGAAGCCCCATGGGGCCAGCGAGGGGCGGAGGGGGCGGACGTCCTAAAGCACCCCCAGGGCTGGCGGCGGGGGGGCGGATGGGGCGGAAGCCCTAAAGCCCAACAGGGCCAGCGAATGGGTGGAAGGGACGGAAGCCTTAAAATCCCATATGGCCAGCGGCGGGGCGCGGAGGGGGCGGGTACCCTAAAGCCCCCTAGGGCCAACGCGGGCGCGGAATGAACAGAAGCACCAATGCCCCAAGGGGCCAGCGGCGGGGTGCGGAGGGAGCGGAAGCCCTAAAGCCCCATAGGGCCAGTGGCAGGACGCGGAGGGGGCGGAAACCCTAAAGCCCCATGGGGCCAGCGAAGGGGCGGACGGGGCGGAAGCCTTAAAGCACCCCTGGGGCCAGCGGCGGGGGGGCGGAGGGGGCGGAAGCCCTAAAGCCCCATGGGGCCAGCGAGGGGGCGGGGGTGGCGGAAGCCTTAAAGCCACATTGGGCCAGCGGCGGGGGGCGGAGGGGGCGGGGGCCCTGAAGCCCCATAGGATCAGCGAGGGGGCGGAAGGGGCAGAAGCCCTAAAGCCCCATGGGGCCAACGGCGGTGCGCGGAGGGGGCGGAAGCCCTAAAGCCCCCTCGGGCCAACGAGGGCGCGGAAGGAGCAGACGCCCTAAAGCCCCATAGGGCCAGTGGCGGGGCGCGGAGGGGGTTGAAACCCTAAAGCACCCAGGGGCCAACGAGGGGGCAGAAGGGGCGGGAACCTGGTAGTGTACAAGTTGTCGAGTCCCTACAGACGGCCCAGGATGCGCCGCGGCCGCGGCACGTCTATGGGCTGGGTGGGAAGGCACATATACGGGTCGAGGAATATGCTGGGGATTGTTGTGGGGGGGTTATCCTTTTTGTAGCGTGAGCGTGTCCGTCTGGGGCTCTCTGGGGCCTGCTTCGGGGGGCTCCCGAGGCCCGCCGCAGCTCCGAAACAGTGCCCCGACCGCCCAACATGGCCCCGTTGAGGGTTCCGAAGGGGGGCCCAAAAGGCCACCCAAAAGAAGCATCATCGTGGATGCACGCTTTGCGGGGGGAAAACCGTATCCTGATGCCGTTCCTCCTGCGTCATGCGTGTGTTTGATGTGTTTTCAAGTCGTTGTGGCATTACCCTGTGACGTACCCAGCGCATTTGCATCGGGGGAAACGGGTGATGGGTATAAACTTGCAGGGGCAATCAAAGTGCAGGCGGCGTTGTATGTCACGCAAGCTACGCGGGGCACGCGCGCGCGGCGCGATGCGCAGGATAACCATATAACAACGAGGGGCGAGAGCCACAAGCTCGCAGAGGAGTTGGGGTGGGGGGTCTAATCTGAATCTGCGTGACGCCCCACCCCGCTGGACCCCCAGCAGCCCTCGAAAGTTGCACCTGAGTGAGTGAGTGAGTTCTTCAGATTTTAGATGCCTCCAAGATCGGCGCCATCTGTTGTTCAAGTGTGGTCCGTCGATGGCAGTGGCATGGCAGCGATTGATTGGAAGCGCATATTACTGTTAGCGAACATCTTCAGAGCAAAAAGAAAACAGCGATACGCATGGTTGTCGCGTCGGTTTTCTGAAAAAAATTCTTCCACATGGAAAGAACAGGCACCCATATCGATAGGCGCCACACTTGAAAAGGTAGCTTCATACTTTTTGGGATGTTTAGAAGCGCGGCCTGTTCCTCCGACCTCCGGTTTCCGGGGTCGTGAACTGCTCTGTCTCTCGCGACCTCAAGACGGCCCCAGAGCGCTCCAAAGCGCGAAGTATGGTCCAAGACGGCCCGCGAGGGCCCCATGCCGACCTAAGAAGGATACAGGGCGGCCCAAGAGGCCCCCAAAACGTCCGAAGTAGCATCCAATAAGCTTTCGCGCATGGCCCGAAAAGGCCCCCAATTGGACCCCCAAGAAAGCCCAGAGACACAAACTAAATATCGATCGGCAACGCAATGAGCTCTTCGCAACAGGGCTCACAAGAGCGAACAGTGACGCACACGAGCTGATAAGACCAACGCTCCCAGCAGGGAGCGGCGACGTAACAAGTTCCTGACGCCAAGGCCCAGCCAAGGCTCAGGAACGGGCGACGACGCAACAGTCTCTGAACACCAAGGCCCCCTAGAGCGAGGGGTGACGTAACAGGGGCTCAACGCCGAGGCTCCCAGTGCGAACGGTGGCGTGGGTAATGTTGGTTTATGGTGCTGCAGCTTTGTTCCGTTTCCGCGCCGGGCCAAGCGGCGGGGGGCGGAGGGGGCGGAAGCCCTAAAGCCCCAAAAGGGCCAGCGGCGGGGGTGCGAGGGAGCGGGCGCCCTAAAGCCCAATGGGGCCAGCGGCGGGGGGCGGGGGGTGGGGCGCGGAAGCCCTGAAGCCTCGCGAGGCCCGCGGGGCCCCGAGAGACCCCGAGAGACCCCGAGGGGCCTTGGGCGGAGGGGCGGAAGGCCTAAGGGGCGGGCGGATGGGGCGGAAGCCTTAGAGGCGCCAGAGAGACACCGAGAGACCCCAGGCCCATTTCAGCGCGCCCCTCGCGCGATCTCCGGCACTGCCGCTGGCCAGCGGGGCGGCGGAGCGGCGACGGCCGCGGGGGCCCCCCCCCGGAGGGGGCGGGGCCCCGCAGGGGGGGTGGGGCGGCGGCAAGACTGTCGGCCTCGAGGGGGGGCGCGCCCGATAGCTCCGTCGCACTTCGCCCGCGGGCATCTCGAGCCCCACGCGGGCTCGACACGGGGGTTATCGCAGGTTCGCCCCCCTTCCAAAACGCAAGATCAGAGAAACATCGGACTCGGGGATGCCGAATCTGATGTCCCTCATCTTTCTCTGCGCCCCCCAGGGCGCTGCTTTTGGCCCCCAGGGCAAGCGGCGTGCGCGAGGCGAGATCTGGAGAAAAAAAAAAGGGGAAGGGTGCGAACCCTCACTTCGGATGCACGGCTAACCGCGCCCCCCCCCCCCCCTTCACAATAGGTTGGGCCTGCCCGTGTCGACGCGCCCCTCGCGCGAATCGCGATCGCGGCGAATCATCTGAGCATCGTCTCCGAATGGGCTGCTGGAGATGCGCGAAGCGTCTAGAATCCCACCGGCGCTCTAGGGCGCAGGTGGTCTTAGGCGCTGAATCGTCTAACCATTGCTGGAGCGACGCGAGACGTTTAGCGTCGCGCCAGCCCTTTAGGGCGCAGGTGGTCTAGGGCGGTCCCTCTTCCAACTCCCTTCTTCTCCGTCGGGGGCCCCCCGCGCCCCCCTTGGCCTGGGCGGGGGGGTCCGCGAGCGGCCGCGGCGCCCAAGATGGCCCAAGCCGGCTCCCAGAGGGCCTCAGATCCCAAGATGACCTCCAGGATGGCTCAAGATAGCCCAGAATGCCCCGCGATAGCTCCCAGCATAAGGCCCCAAGAACGCTCCAAGACGGCTCCAAGAGGAGGATGGGGGGGGGGGGGGGGGGAAGGAGGGGGAGGGGAGGAGGGGGCGGAGGAAGAGGATGGGAAGGCGGGCGGATGAAATATGTGGACGATCCTTCCTGGCGTTCTTGTAAGCAGTGAGATCGTCAGTGCAGCAGACGACGCCCTTCGGAACGTGGGCGTCGGACAGCTCGACGGCTTCCGCGGGGGGGGCTCTTTCTGGGAAGCGGGCTGTTTCGCGACAACAACCCGCGACGATGAGTGACGACGACAACAGGAGGGGCGAGAAGATGCAGATGCCGATGCGGCACAGACCCATCGCAGCGTCTCAGACCCATCGGGTACCCATCCCGAAGCGAGTCCAGCCGCGGCGACGAGAACATCCCAGGGCGACCGCTGGCATCAGCATCCGCTCATCCTCTGGGTCAAAAGCGCGCGCCTGACAGCACATGCAGGTCCATTTGCCTTGATCAGGCGTGCCGGACGCGACTCGTGCGACCATCTCCGGTTGCCCGCCGTAAGGCGACGCCGGCTGGCACAGCGTGGGCGGGCCCATGTTGTGCATCGGGTAGTTAGGGATGCAGTCGAGGGGCGCGAGTGCGCGCCGGCGTTGGCGGCCCGAAATCTGGAGCCCAAGCAGCTACGCGCGCAACGCGCCAGCGCGCGAGACGCCTAGAGTGGGGAGCGCAGAGACATGCTAATACTACATGTCCTCCGTGGAGGTGCGCGTCCGACTCGAACCCATAGCATAACCATATCGCAGCATATTTCTCCCGGGCGGCGTGGCCAGAAAGCGCCCGCCACGACGCATGCACCATGGGATTCCTCAGCGCGCGCGTCGCCCACGGGGGGGCGACGCCCGCGCGGCATAAGCATGTTGGGACGGCGCCGATAGAGCTCCCAGGGTCAGGGCCAGCGGATTGACGTCGAGCTACGGGGGCGGGCGGCGATGAACGGGGCGCGGGAAGGGCGGGGAA